ACCGAGTCTCTCAGGACACTCTCCCTCCAGGCTCTGGAACGCCTCCAGAAACTAAATAAATGCTTTGGACGGTTGAGGTTACGGATCAAGAGCCCTCATTCACAACCCATCTTTAGGCTAAAAGTAGCTTCTAACCGATCAACTTAGGAGAAACTCTTAGAATTAGTGGCAATGTCAGTCTCAGGTAAACACCCAGGTATTTTTTTCAGCCTCTTATTTTCATGATTGTGGTCGATTTTTAGAAACAAAACAATGTGTATCAGGACAAACAGAGCAAGTCTCCCAACGCTTGAATGAGTATTTAAAATAATTAGATAAATCATTTCAAAAAGATGGAGCTGTTTCTCCGCCATTAAAAGTTCTCATCAAACCAACAGTTCATTTAAGGCACAATTTGTAGGTTTCTCTACTAATTACATCACATTCAGAGTTGGTCCCGGCTGAACAACCCCAGATTCACTCTCGGTTTGGAACGAGCTTTGTTTGATTATTTGCATTTTTTGTGTGCTGTGTGCGCCATTTTTGTAGCTTCCTCTCGGATGGTCGCTACGTTTTTTTTAAAGAGGATGACGCCCAGAAAAGCCCCAAACACAGCAAAATATGAAAATACAGGCAGTGGGCAGCATCTCTGCAGACACAAACACTATAGTGGGTCATAAGTGAGGATTTCTGTATCAGTCTTTCCAATGTTTTTTAAAGGAATTCCTTTTCATTGTGCCTTTAGGTTTCTATCAAATGTTCAGTAATCTCTTTAAACATTCATATGCAGAATCTGAAGGCAACGAGACAAGATTTTGGGATAAGATGCGTTCTGATTTCCGTTTGTAGTCTGAGTCGTATTGTGGTACGACCCGGCTCCTTTACGGACGAGGAAGTTACATAAACCGGATGTTTTATGGTTTTAATTAAACAAAATGAAAGATGTAGGATTTATTTAGTTAAACATAGGGGAATTGGAGTTAACAAAAATGGGCAGCAGAGCAGTTTTATAGAACCTGACACTAAAGGGAACCCAATCCCCTGGGTTTGACTAGTACCTACAAATTTACAACAAAGACACTGTGCAGTCAGTCATGAGGTACAGGTGGCGTGCTTGAGTAACAACAGCCCGCCCCAAGTGAAACCTCGGCCCGGCCTTTATACTCCAGCCTATAGTGTCCCTTCTCGTCATTGGACAGTCGGATTGGGTGACGCACCAATCAGGTCCTTGGCTGACCCGTCACGTCGGAGCAGTCTTTGGTTGAATGCCGGTAAACAAGCAAAAGAAGCAGAACGCATCGGCCAAAATGTAATCTGGGAAATCTTCCAGCTATCGTCTGCCGATGATTTAGATCTTTATTGGTTTAAAAGTGATCTTGTAAACTGACTACTTGTGAAACAATCCGGTCGTACGTGCCGTCTCTCAACTCATCTCAAGCTACTAATTGGACTCCAAGCAATGAGCAGTAAAATGAAGTCTTAGTCCTGATATCCGCCGGCTACACCGTGAACCCAAGAAATACATGACCTTACCTCCAGAGGCTTATCCGTCCTCAGACCGATGGTTTCTGAGATTGAATCATCACCCTCTATAATAAATTAATAAATAAAGCTGATTTCATGGTCGTCACCTGGTGTGTTTTTGGGACAACAGATGGAACACACCAAACATCTAAACCCTGATCACACGAGTTTCCTCTTAATGTTTTATCTCCTGCAGTTTATTTAAAGTTTGGTGGACGTCCGTCGGTCTCTGTCTCCTCAGTCTTTGTGGTCAGCATCTCTTCAGATTAAATGTCGGGCTCCTCTCCTGCCTTTTCATTTGTCGGACAGACTTCGGCAGTGATGTATTGACAATAGATACACAGGCGTGTTGTGACAACAGTGTGTTGAGGAGGGGAGGAGAAGGACTGCAGCGAATCAGACAGGTGGGTCCTGAGACGGCCCAATGTGGGTGGAGGGGTCTAAATGTTACATCAACTCAGGAAACAGATCCTTTACTTTGGGGAAAGTACAAATACACTGCAAACTGATACTTGAGTGAAAGTAATGTCCCCTGTGACTGTTATACTGTTATATATTAGATTAGATTATTATTATTTATAATAAATTGGGAGCCAACTGTCTGAGCTGACTTTAGAAGTTAACTCACAACTTTTACAAACAAATGATGAGAATCTCTGTGAGCTGACTGTAGAAACTATTCAACTATTTAAATCTCTTCTGTGCTTTGTTCACATTTCACCATCTGCCGTCTTAAGACCTAAGCAAGCTTTTCCCAACTATGAACCGCTAACAACTTGAACCAACTGTAACCCAAAGCATCGATAACAGAGGTGACCAGTCGTGTGCATTGAAGAGCCAACAGTCTGCAAAACACTGAAGGTTCAAGTTTTTTCTTTATTGTCTTTGTACAACACTGGATTGTGCAAAACAGATGTAGTGTAGTCCCATTTTGCTTCATGAGGAAAAAGGCAACACTATATTATAGATGAAGTTGAGGAGTCTCTGAGGGAAGAAGATACTTTGAAATCTGAAGACAGCTGATATTTGTGTATCTGTTGCCAGATGGCAGCATGGTGAACATCCACTAATGAGCGGTGGGACCCCTCTGAGGTCAGATTTACAAAGTATCTTATGACTGGAAATCCTCCTAAACGGCAACGTAAATAATTGAATCTGAACTGGTGATTGTGGAGACAGACGATGAAATTACCACCTGTCCTAGAGATTATGTTTATGTACTTTGTTGCAGCATCAAATACATCTGAATTATTTTATGAGGAAACATTTTTTTAATTGACAAGCAGATGTTTTTCAGCACTCAAACTCAGTGAACTCTACCTGCTCAGCACCAAATGGCCGACAAAGTTAGAGACCAGCTGGTGAACATCGTGCAACATTAAGCAACTCAGGAGTTGGTGGAGACCAAAAACAGAGCTAAAAGAGAGTGCAATCTACTTTAAATGATATATTTCTAAATGATAATGCTGCTCTGTATCTGCTGGATGTGTAAATAAATCACAGTTTGCTAACGGATTCACCGTATATCCAACTTACATGGAGATAATATGTCAATGTTGTGTTTACAGCTTGTTTCTGCTGCTCCCATGTGGCCAAAAACAGTATTACGTCTCATTGCATTAATAATACAGGAAATTAACATTCATATTTTGTTATAATACTATTAATATGGAAAGTATACATAACCACCTTCATGCATTTCACTTATATGAGCTCTTTTTTTTCTTTCTGGTTGAAGAACTTCAATTAATCAATCAAACTTTATTTATATAGGACCTTTTTAACAAATCAAATGCACTTTAACGTGCTTTACAAGCCATTGACAACACTTGGAATGATAAGAAAGTACAAAGTAAATACAATAAAATAGAATAAGATGATTCATAATGATCTACGATAAAACAATAGAGTAACTTTGATTGAAGAAATGATTATAGAACAATACAAAATAATAAAACCACAAAGACTATGAAACTACATTGTTTTCAGTTTCCATTTAAAAATATCAATATTTTTAGGTCCTCTCAAATCGTGAACCCTTTCAAAATACACAATAAAAAAGAACAGATATTAATGTAATTCAGGCAGACATTTTAATAATATATTACATATTGCAAAATATAAACTACAGCATTTAATCCCATGTAAACATCATCTTGAGAAGGATGTGTTGAACAGTAAAGTACGTTGATGTTTCTTGTACTTACTGCAGAAACAGTATCTAAAGAGGACTGTATGTAAAATACAGTTGTGAGGATGAGCAGCTGTGGTTGGTGGTGACTGACGGTGACTTTAGGATCAGTGATGAGAATCAGTAGCTCTCCTTCTTCTGCAGTGGGTTTGTGTTGCGAGTGAAGCACTGTGCTGTTAAATGGCAGCTTTAACCACCTCTCTGCCTCTCTGTCATTAGCATAGCGTAGGAGGCAGAGCTGATTGAGTGGCCAGTTGGCAGTCAGAGAGAAATTTCTTTTCAGATTCTTTGTTCGTGTTCTGCAGTTGGACCAGAAAAAATAAAATCACCATTTTTGAGCACAAACAGTCTCAGCAAAGTATAATCTTCATCTCTTACTGATAATGATGTGACCTTTGCTCTGAATCGCTACATATTAAAAGGCTTCGATCATATCATAGGAGTTGTTTTGCAGGTTTTTACCAGAACAGCAGCTAACAAACAAAAAAAACGTTAAACAAACCATCAACCTATAAAATGTTTAAAAAGGACAAGTATCTGTTGGTCTCTGAAGGTTTAATACATATCAAGATACACAATATTCAATACATCGCTATTCAAGGTAGACTTTTTGTTATCGGACTCAGCTGAGATTATATTTGATATTTGTTATTGTATAGTTGAATTAAAGTGTTTTAGTTTAAACTGTAGGTAGCTAAATAATAAAAGAAACACATTTACCGTTTTATTTGAAGTATTAAATACAAAATTAAATTGTGACTTTGTCGAAATTATAAGGTACTAAGTCACAATCATCATAAACTATATTTGTCATAAGTGTGTGACATTTTCATTGATATTTAGTGATATTTTCAGCAGTCCATACTTGTCATCTGTTAATTCATTTGTCTGCGTAAATGGGCTTATTTTTTTATTTTAAAAAATATTTCATAATATGTCAAAATATTTTTTGAAAGATTATTACGGGAACTTAATCTAGAAATATTTTAAAAACTAACCTGGAAATATTTCTGAAAATATGATGACTTTATTCTTGAAATATCTGATTTCAATCTTGAGGTATAATGATTTTTTTCTCAATGTATTCGAACATTTTTTATTGTTATTCCCCTGACAATAAAAACAATAAAATCTGGACATAGCCTACTATGTATTAATGAACTGCAGTGGGCAGTAATGAGCCTCCATACATCGCTCCAGATGTGTGTTTCCTTTCCTTCTTCTCGGAGGATTCTTCCTCTCAAGTTTCCAGATCTTCTTCATGGATCCTCACCCTGAGGCTGATGTTCTCGGTACCGAGGGGGAACTCAGTTTCTGCCCGATTACCTAATTAATTCATAGATCCACCTTAAAAACTGGGTAATCCCGGGCTGGTCCCTCCCTCTCTCGCGGTCTCTACTAAGCACTAGTTCACTTCCCTCTCTCTCAGTTTCTCCCCTCCTTTCCTAGCCAGGAAAAGACGCCGACCCGGACTTTTGGGTCTTTCCTCTGGTCGACTGTTTGAATGTGCCTGACCCCTCCAGTCCTCCTTGACTGGATCTGCTCTTTGTTACCTTTAACCCTCCTCTGATTTATATTAGAGGAGAGAGAGAGAGAGAGAGAGAGAGAGCGAGAGAGAAAGGGGCAGTTTTATTTCTCCCTTTTGAACCGGATTGATTTCTGACTGATTCTCTGGATTTGTTTCCTTCCTCTCTTGGTTGGTGGGGGGGTGGGGGGGGGGGGGGTTTGCCGCTGCAGGACCAGAGAGCTGATGCTACTGTCAAATAAACTGGTTTAAAACGTCGGAACAAAAGGGACGTTGAAGATCTTTTTTCTTCACCATCCGGGTCTGTCAATCAAATTTCCACCACTGCAGTTGTCAAGTTGGAGCCCTGCTGAGAGAAATGGACAAACCCCTCTAAAACTGCCAAGACGACACCAACCGCAGGACGTGATTTGGACAAGGACACCTCGAGTGGAGGTAACGTCTATTGATTTTGTTGTGTGTGTATGTATATATGTATATAT